TATTTAGTACGTACTGAAAGATAATAAAGCTGTATATTTTTCAATGCAAAAATATATGCTCTAACAGTGGCGTGCGTCCGAATACTGACTTCGATATTTTTTAAGAAAAAAATGGTAAGCCAATGGTCTTTGCCAAATAAAATTTTGTTATATATTTCTGAATTCCCCGTTCAATTTAATACCCTCTCCAGACTCACGCGCGGATCACGGCGTGAAATCGCGGTGCGAATACCGAAATTTGTTCCTACAGTTCCACACTCGCAGATATTGGCGCCTGCTTCACAGTATGGTTCGCGCTCTTGACGAGTATGGATGGTGAAATTGCTACTGCTGCTGCAGGGCTACTTTGCGCTTTGGCAATTTATAATTACGCATATATAAGTAAAACTAGAGCAATAGAAAATAAGTGGAAAAAACACAGCCATTCCCGGCACTCGCTATGAGGCAACTGAAACACCAGCGAATAAGGAGCCTAGTCATGTTCGTGCCTTGCGACCCCTTTGTCGCGGGACAAACAACCGACAACAAACGGGAACAACACGCGAACGCGACGTGAAGCCGCAAAGAATACGCGAATGGGATCCACACTCATGGGTCGCGGGTAGTTTGCGGCTTCGCGCGCGAGTCTGGAGAGGGGCTAAAACAAATGATCTCTCTTGAATTGTTTTCCTTTGATGTGCCATTTTTGAGTACAAAAGTAAAAACCTTTCTATTGTCCCAGAAAATTAATGTACCTAATAATTGAAGAATGCAATTTAGCAATAAATATCTAGTTGCTCTGGAATATGTCACTGGCTTTTGACATCTGACAAGTCTCTGTTATTCAAATCTGTTCGCTGCGACATCTTTTTCATTATTTAATTTTTGAAATATTGTCAATAATGCTGAATTATTCAAATGCAGAAATGGCGGAAAATTGAAGTATAGGGCCTTGCCGACGGTAACGGTGAACAGACCAGACGGATTTATCACCACAGATATCCCGATCGTGCTTTCCCAGATATTCGAACCTTTTCCAATATTCGTCGTCGACTTGCTGAAACTGGTTCAGTCTGAAAAGGAACATCTGAAGGTAGACCTCTAAGTGTCAGAATACTTGAAATTGAGGAAGCAGTGCTGCACGAAGTCAAAGAACATCCTGAAACGAGTTCGAGAAGGATGGCTAGACACTCAAATATTTGCTACCAATTTTTTGGAGAATTTTAGTAGATTTTTTGTTAAATCCTTACCAGTTGTATCTTCAAAAAATTACACAAAATCCGCAATTTGAATGAATGATTCTGTTCACGGACGAAACTGTTTTTTCTCGAAATGCTATTCAGAATATCCACATTAACCATTTGTGGGCAGAAGAAAATCCCTATACCGTAACCGAAACCCATTTGCAACACCAACTTTCGGTTAACGTATGGGCAGGAATGATTGGCAACCATTTTATTGGCCCATTCTTCTTGCCGTGACGACTTACGTTAGTAATAAGAAACAATATGTGGTGCATGCATGTTGGTGCAAAACCGCATGTCAGTGTAGCGGTTCGTCTTTATTTACAACCTGTTTATCCAAATGTAGCTCTCTTAAGACACTAGTGTACACAAGTGCGATTAACACTGTAGAGCAATTAAGAGAAGGAATAGTTGCAGTTTATGATAGAATAAAAAACACTCCAGGGATATTTGATCGAGTGCGCAATTCCATGAGAAGGAGGGCGGAAGCATGCATAATAACAATTTTTGTAATCATTTCGTTGGTTTTAGTATTATGTTTAGGCGTATTCTTTAATTCACCGGTTGAGCCACCGGTGCAAGCAATTAACCGATTTTTCTTCTTTTAATTCCGTCTGGGCGACCGGTTGTACACCAAACTTGTTTATAAACTTGTCTATATAGTTTATAGACAAGTTTGGTGTACAACCGGTCGCTCAGACGGAAATTTTGGTTGCACCGGTGGCTCAACCGGGGAATTAAAAAATACGCCTTTTATGTTGTCAGTTGTTGTTGTTCATTACCCCTAATGTGTTTAATTTTTCCGATTAAATTAATAATAATTTTGCAAGTTAGACAATAGAACGGATTTATTTTTTTTACTCAAAAATGGCGCATCGAAGGAAAACAATTCAGAAAAGATCATTTGTTTCAAATTGAACGGGCAATTAAAGAAAAAATTTTATTTGGCAAAAAACCATTGGCGTACCATTTTTTTCATTAAAAATATTGAAGCCAATACACGTACGCACGCCACTGTTGAAGCTAAAAATTATTTTTGCATTGAAAAATATAACTTTATCAACTTTCACTACATTCGTCAGAGGAATATCCGAAGCGGTTCTAAAAATATTAATTAATTTCCATTTTTTTCCTAAAACTTCAACACCCCGAGTTTTTCTAAGGAAACATTTTGGACCATAGTTTAAAAAGCAAACTAACATTAATTTTTCATGCAGATTCACACCCTTAAATATTCGCATATCATTAAAGAGCAACCTGTATATTGACCTGTGTAAACATTTTCTGTGTATCAACAGCAATGATTAATTACCATTATTACTATTAGTTCAAAGATATATGGTCTCAGCGGCCAGATAAACATGGAATACTTTCATAAAAACCACATTCACATAGGAGTATTAAATGGTTCATTTCCGATCTGCATATTGAGTTTTCAAAAATTACTTGACAAAACTGAAAATTCCGCATACAATAGAAAAAAATCCAATTTCTTTATTTCGTGAACTTATTTGTATTCAAAAGCTATACAAATTCAAGCCTCTTGACACTTGTACATACAAGCTAAACATGCGAAGAAGAAGGAAAAGGATATCAAGAAGATGAAGCATCTCGACATCTCCGTATAATATTCGCAAAACCAACGTTCGTCTTCGAAATCCACCAAAATATTTTTTAGCCCCTTTCATTCGATCCAGACCTGTAATCTATTGCTAAGAAAAGTGTGGTGACCTAGGAAGAAGCACTGAACGGATCCTAAGGAAGGCGACAAGAAGTGTAAGGCATATGCCAATCTTACATTGTCTTTGTATGACCCTGGTGTCGATTATTTCATCAATTTTAATTATATGTATGTTAACTATCCAAAATAAAAGTCGACTATTTAAGGTTTCAAAATAAACATGTCAACCATTTAAGGTTTCAAAATAAACATAAATCAACCATCTAAAGTTCCAAAAGGACATAAGTCAACCATTTGAGGTCCGAAAATCGACCATTTCAGGTTCTAAAATGAACATAAATCAACCACCTAAGGTTCCAAAATAACATAAGCTCCTGCTATCACAAAGAATGGTGGCCGTAGGTAAAATTGTATATCGTCGGATCGAACTACAGAATATCTTCGGTTTGCTATTTTTCTTCCAACGATCATTCTCAGCATAACCCCTTCTTTTACAAAAGGTACACTCAAAATTTATTTTTTTTTCGATCTGTATTTTTATCGTCATGGTCCACTGTGGTTTTAGTAGCCAAATTTCGGCAATCTTCCTTTCGATGTCCCGTTCTTCCACAATTATAGAATGTGCCTGAAAATTTGCTGTCAAGACGAGGACGTTTGAATGAATGTATTTCTCCGTTTCCATGCTCACCAAAATCAGATACATTCTTAGGTTTTTGAAGTCGGATTGTATTATGAATAGAATAAATCATCATGAAAGCGATATAGGTCCCTTATTTTAATTCGGGCATATTCGCTATATGTTTGAAACTGAGAACAATTAACTTCATACGCTTTTCGTAATTTTGTTCCCCAATACTCATGATCAGGAAATGCGGAAAGAAGGTCATCCTCAAATGCAAACGAAGTTCTCTGTAATGGAGCCCATCCTTCGTAAAATCGTCGACCCTCTCCACGAAGAGCCTCCCCTGCTTTTAATATTATCAAACAATCATCTATATCATTGATTCCCAAAGTGGTCTATATCGACACCTGGGGGTCTATGACAACCTGCAAGGGGCCTACGTCAGCGAAAAAAAATTTGGGGGGTCCATGAAATGAATATGGGGGTCCACGATAGTGGATCTCAACACATACACTGATAGTACCTATTTACTTACATCATACTATCTTATAATATCAAAACATATACATTATTTATAAAAGTACCTATGAAGAAAAAAATTTATTATATATGTTTATAAAATTGTGTAAGTTGTAGGATGTTGGTATTCGCTTTGTGGTCGCAATACATTTTGTACTTGTAAAAACCTGAGAGTCGCAGTCTCAGAACTTCGCTACCTTGCACTAACTTGTTCAATTCGTCACTCTATAAATACGAATGTGGGACAAATACGTTTATTCGTTTCCTGAATCTTGAAAAGGAAAGTGTTAAGAAAATATTTTAAAAAATATAAAGAGATAGTATATCACACGAATTATAGTGAGTCAGTGTTATTTTGTTTGAGAGTGCTGGAGAAAAGTAAGTTTATTATTTTTTATTAAATTTTAGTTTTGTACTCGTAGTTAGCAAAGATAGATGAATTACGCCAATCATGACTTTAGTTATTAGTAGTTAAATATTCAATCATGCAAAATTACACGAGTACTCCTCAATAGATTCTTTTTGAAAGTTTTAGCAATTGGTAATATAATTACAGTGCAATCTCCGTAATTCGAGCTAATTGTTGCAATAAGATTTTCGAATTATGGAATGTTTTCGGAAAAATCAAAAAATATTTTTAATATACAGCTGCTGGATTTTCTGTCTTATTTAAATAATTTAAGTTTGCCTACAGATGACTGATGCCATGTCCGAATCTAAAAAGAAATGTAGACAGTACAGTGTTGATTATTTGAAATTTGGTTTCATTCCATCATTGCCGGACAAACAATCGCCTATGTGCCTTTTATGCAACAAAGTTTTGGTCAATGACGCTATGAAACCATCTAAACTGCAAGATCATCTGAGAAGATGCCACCCTGATAAAACATAGAAAGATTTGAAATACTTTCAAACACTCAAAGATAAATTCCAGAAGAGACCTACACTGGACAGAATGTTCGCTTCGACGTCACAAAGAAATGATGATGGTTTGCGTCTTACAATATCTCGTTACATATAGCAAAATCCGGAAAACCGCATACTATCGGAGAGAAGTTAATTTTGCCAGCCGTTGAAAAGGTTTTAAAAACTGTTTTACACAAACCTGCATCTGATACCATTAAAAGAATTCTCTTAAGCAGCAATACTGTTGAAAGACGTATTGATGAAATGAGTTCTGATATTGAAAGCTTCTTATGTAATTATTTGCAAACGACCCATTTCTCTATACAACTGGACGAGTCAACTTTACCTGATAATGCAGCATTATTATTGGCATATGTTCGTTTCATTATGAATCAAGAAATCTACAAAGAACTGCTCTTCGCAACAACTTTGATAACCGACACTAATAATGTGAATCAATATTTCATATTCTGAAGGATTACTTCATTGAAAAAGCAATTCCTTTATCAAATATAATATCAGTAGCTACAGAAGAGAAAAACAGACATCGCCTATTTAACAGATTTGTTTACAAAATTTAATATGGTTAATTTGCAATTACAAGGCGACAGTTTAACTTTGATTAAAACAAAGTCCATCTTATCAGCGTTTCTTGTCAGAGTTAAACTAATGAAGCAAAATGTTGGACGGGGCGATTTTTCTCAGTTCCCCAATTTGTCACAGACAAACTGCCAGGATGACGACGTTTCATCTTACCTTCAACATTTAAATGCCCTCTATTCAGATTTTGAATCTAGGTTTGAGGATATTTTGACTATGGTAATACCACCGTGGATAATTAATCCATATGGTGACATAGAAGAAACGAATGTCATAATACAAGAGGAACTGACTGAACTAAGTACAAACGAAGAACTTAAGGTTCAGTTTAAAAACGGATATCAGCAATTCTGGCTGCAAAACAACATACCCGTTACTTATCCCGTATTATGGAATATAGCGAGGAAATTTTTAATTTCCTTTCCATCGTCATACCTAGTGGAAAGGGGGTTCAGCGCTGTTACCAATCTCCTAACAAAAAAAAGAAACAGACTGGACATCATTAGCCGTGGAGATTTAAGATTAACCCTTACAAAATTGACGCCAAATGTTGATAATTTATTATTAAAGCATCAGGTTCATCCTTCTCACTAAAAATATTGACCTATTGCTTATGTTATTTTATTTATAGTTTATTTTATGTTTATTGGTATCTGACCAATAAATGCCCGCATTGGGAATAAGTGCCCGCATTCATTTTTTTAAAGAACCCCCCTTTACAGAAAATACTTTTTTTTTAAATTATTCTGAAAATTCAAGGATAGGTACACACTAAAATTCGTTAATTTTTTGCCTATTTTTAGATAACTTGAACGTATAAGAAGCGGAATTTAATCAAACTAACAGAGAAATTATTGTAGAACATACGTTTATGTTATAATTAATAAACGAACTCGCTTATTGTACTATTTTAAGTAAAAAACTTTTTTTTTATTATTTTTCACTTTTTTTTATTTTATCCCTCTTATTTTTTTTCAATGCGGGCACTTATTCCCAATGCGGGCACTTATTGGTCAGACACCTGTTTATTTATTTGAGTAGTTTTATTTTAAATTCAATTAATAAATGTATAAATTAACATGTGTTTTTACTTTAAGTTTTTAACACTAAGCTTCACTACAGTTAGAAATTTACAGGAAATCAATATCAGGTAAGTAGCGGTTCTACCCAACACGGAAAAACATGGCAAGGGGTCTACGACACAAAAAAGTTTGGGGAACTCTGACCTATATTATATTTCTTCCCGACACAGTTCACTTTATCTATCGACACTTGTGATGAAAAGTGACTTTTATTTGGATCAAAACAACTCAAAGTAAATGTAAATATTTCTCTTAGCTTGTTTTTTACTATGGTTGGTACTGTACTGAGAGAACTTACAGTAGGTGTCTCCTTGGATGTACTAGGGGTTGCCTCAGTGGCTTGCATAATCAGCAACACCGATAACAATGAATCGCTGCCATCTTGTTCGTCACTTCCCGTTAACACTACACTAAACCCAGCAACCCCCACACTATTTTCAGTTTCCGGCATTTTTCAGTGAAAATTAAACTCCTTCAATAAGCACTATTAATGTCCATCCACAGCAGTGTTTTCTTTTTGTATTTATTGTCGGTAAATGTCACAGTCTTTGGCACGCACAGTATGTCCCACCTGAGGTCGAAATTAAACTAGTTATCGCTCAAAACAGTGCTTTTACTGCACACAAATAATTCATATCTCATCACGTCAACAGAACGTTCATGACCGACCGCTGCAAAAATCCAAACAAAAACTGGTCAGGCATCCAATGTTTTTATCAACACCATGAATATAAGCAGACTGGCTTGGGCACATTTATCAGGTGAGACAAAATATTAAATAATATTGAAAACTTTCAACATGTATATGTACCAGAATGTGTTTACAATCTCGCGAGTCTCCACGACTCCAACACCATCTCTGCAAGCACACTTTGGTATTAGTAAACCTGTGATACACAAAATTCCGAAGACGAGGCTTCAACAAAAAGAAATCATCAGATATATTCAATACGAAGCGCTATTTGTAAATTTCTCACTTAAATTCTTGTCACATACAAAGCATATAATATCTATCTAGTAGTAGCAATCTAATGGTACAGAGAGAAAATATATATGGCGCGAACGTTATTTTTCCATACATGATGTATCGTTAAATTCCTGAAAAAGTTGTGGTATTTGTTGAATGTTACATCAAGCACAGATTACTGATGTACCAGTACGGTGTTATTGATGTGGCCGGTATTCATAACCTTTTGAATTATGATTTATCTTGCTAAAACCATAAACAAGCGGCCCGTTATGGTACCAGCAATATTTTGTATAAAATAAAAACTATCCTTATACCTAAATGAATTTCTGAAGCAACGTCAGTAACCGCTCACGGGTCTAAAATCTTCTGTAAAACAATAGATGGCAGAATAGGATCTGCTTACTTTCTGTCTCTGTGACCATAGCCAACACTATACAGTATTGTTTCGTCCTTTCTAGTAATCATCTGAACGGAATAAGTCCAGTCATTTCGGAGACATTCGGAGCTTAAAACAAAGTCGTATTTTATTTGTTTAATAGTGTGCTGAAGTTTCAGGATGCTTAGATACATATTTTCACATATAATATTAATTTAATTGAGAGGAATCTAAGAAAAAGCACAACTAGCAAATGTGCTTCAAAAGACATTAGTAGTTTGAGTTTTTCATTGGTGCCCAATTTCCTGCGGAAGTTCAACGTAGGATGTGCTCAAAAACCTACCATCTCATCCATTGCATTACAAAGTTTGCAAAATCCATGCAGCATTATTGTTAATTAGAGACACATTCATTATTTAGATTCGAAAGATATCATTGATAAGGGAACTTGCATTGCCTCGTTGTCATGCTACTCTGGTCCCAGCTCTTCCTTAATTGACATTATTGATGTACTTGTACATCGCGTTTTTTTTTGTGGCTATTCATATGCAAGGTAGTCAGTTACCATTTTATCAGCTACTTGAAGCAAGCACCGTTGCCACGTTTACCTACTCGACCACAGTCTAGCAACTTAACTCGAAAAAGTTAAAGAACGAACCTCAACTTTCTCTAAATTGGCGACGGTAACAAAGCGTTTGAATCACTTATATTTTCGAGTAGGCTAGAAATCTGAAAAGCTCCACTCAATGGCTTGCCAATCTGATTTTCTTTTTTTTGGCATTAGAACTAGGTGTTCATGCAGCCAGTCACTAAGCATTATATGAATGATGGATCATCGGTTTGATTTTGGATTCATGTTTTTCAAAACTGGAAGTCTACTGTTATAGTGGGATGATGCTAGAGATCTTCACAGAGGACACTTCTTCACGCCTCAGGGGTCGGTCAGGGCGACTTCTTACACGTCCACAGGTAGACCACGGTAAGAGGAGGGATATAACAGGGAGGGAGGCAACAAGGGTATGTGAGGTGATTATAGGTTTACATTGATTGAATGGATAAATTCAGCCAGGCTGTCGTAGATCTCCTTTCTATTTAGGGATAATAAATGTATGAGGTTAATTGCCAATCTGATATTCATACTCATTGCACGATAAAAGAGGCAGAAGGCGCCTACGCTCATAACTCCGCGATAACTACGCGATGCACAGATAGATGTCGCACCACTATACTGGTCAAACCATCCAACAGTCGGCATATTAGGTATTCGCATATAAGTATAAATAGACGGGAAGTAAACACGTCAATTTTTATCAGGCAGTTTCTAAAAGAAGCCAGAGATTACCACTAACATCATATTCTTCAATTTGTATGTCCATCTGTCTCCAATTCTACGTTTCTGTTGCGGCAAAACGGGAGCTCGAGCTTCAAGTCCTGTCAATGAGAAAGCTGCTCTGAGCATCAAACTACGCACCGGAGCGGGAACCTCCGAAAAAGGGTTCTTGACTCACTGGGTTTTCACATGGTTCCAGAGGCGGAGTTGTGACAACGAAAGTTAGTACTATTACACTTGTGGGGGCGGGTAGCTAAAATCTATCTTCAGCTATATTTCCTCAATTACATCTTGTTGTAAAAGTAACATATGATTACAACGAGCACATGATAATTGCCTAGGTAGCGCAATGCACAAGCCATTCTGGTGACATGCGGTCGCAGCCAGCGGCTTAGGTGAAATGACAGCAAAATGATTTACCTTTGCGACTCTCTTTCATAGGCAACATGTAAGCTTCAATTATGATTTTATTGTATGCCTGCCTATCGAAGATGCTTCGTAGGTGGGACGCTGACATTTTATCTGGACACAAGATATCCGTCTACATTGCTGGATTCTCCTCTTCGTGCCACGTGGATGTTTCCAGGAAGTGGTTTTAGCTACAACACTGTTTCTGTAACATATCAACGATCTTCTCTCCAGTACAGTCAATCGGGCATAAAGTTTTACGGATGACAGCACTTTAAACGCAGACCAAGCCGACCTCTGCCAATGAGCTGGAGAAAAGATGGCTCGTCACTCGGTACAAGGCCCAGCCTCAGCCTTAAGTACTGCTTACATGCTTGTTGTGCTGATGCTCCGGCTACATTACCTGCACTCCATATTGTACGAAGGAGGTTTGTCTTACTATTCCATGACACTTCTCTAACAGACAGTCTGCGAACCCTTTTGCACAGACGGGTCGTCGGCGATCGGGTTTTCTTCTACCGCTATGTCAACGGGCCTTGCTCGTTCAGAGCTCTCCACCATGATGTTGCCGGGCGTTGAGTCTGCCAGAACGCGTCTGCCTCCCACCCTACTTCTGTCGAGGTTTGTACTCTGATAAGTGGTCGGAACAACTGCTTGTGGAACCGCCTATCTGAGTTCCGCGAGCCTTAGGTAGTTGAAAGGTCGGAATAACAATGTGTATTTAAACTTTTTGCAGTAATCGCGGAACCTTAGCTTATTGCCACAAAAATATACATTGCTTGGAGGGTATGGACTAGATATTTCCAAGTTAGGTGACAGTCTACTTATGAATCGCTAAAACGATCGCTGTCCAGCTTAGCCTAAACTACAATGTGAGTATGCTGACCTTCCGGAGAATCTAAAATCTTGAACGGACAATGCTGACCTTCTCAGAGCTTTCGTCTGAGAGCTGGTATACTTGATACTATTACTGTCCAAATTCTGTCGTACCTTCAGCCTTCTTGGATGTCCTAGCATTTTGGAGAACAGCTTGGCAACTTGGCGTTCATTTAAACGATGCGACGTCCGTAGCTCAAGGCGCTCTTAGCAGTTTGATTAAATCTTCGATACACATATGATTTTCATTCGAGTACGTAAATTAAGGATTATATCCTCCTGTTTTGGCTATAAAAAGAGGCTGATCTTCTTCCGAACGTTTTGTTTTGCATTTAATTGGACAAAAAGACGTATATCTGCGATCGCGACAGCTTGATGCTATAAATCAATGGGACAGTTCGAACACTGTTAAATTTACTTCCAGCTATATAATCCGGTAACAGTAGGAATAATGACTGACAGCAAGAATTAAAACTTCAAGCTTGTAGATTTCAAGTGTGACGAACTGTGTTGGTTCACGTTTCAGAACACAGTACTATGTCCCGTTGTCGAACGATTGATAGGATCTCCTTCCCTTGCCTTCTCGCAGCAAGACTTTTTTACGAATATCTCCATATTAACAACTCTATGTTATATCAGTTACAAGTAGATAGCTCGTGGAGTAGTAGAGTGTTGGCGCTACGGAGTCGGCAAAAAGGCTCAAAAGTGGCTCATTTACCACTACTACTATTTTGACTAGGTAGCTTCGTGAAAGTTTCTATCTTTCAGTATGCTTTTACCATGTTTTCTAATTCCAATTCCAATTATCCACCTGTGAGACACAATATCACACATATTTCGCTTAATATTTACGCCTGTGAGACAAGCAACACCAGCTGAAGCTGACGGTGCCTCTGCCGCAGCGTTAACGAGGTCCTTGATGACACGCGGTAAAATAGTGAAAACAAAGTATGTCCGGCATTAGTTTTAAACCAATAATTAAATCATTGTATTCTCTAGCATCATCAGCAGACCAGACCAGAACGTACAAAAGTTGACTCAGATGCTGTACATGGTGCATACTTAAGATCCATCATACCAATGTTCACAAGTCAGCAATACTGTTTTTCACTGATAGATATTCTACTCAAGGTATGTCTGATAAAAGAGATTACCGGGCTGTGAAGGAGTTAATGAATGAAAGTCCATTTTTCCAGAATTGCGTGGGTAGTACAGAGTCAATCTGCTTGATGCCATTTTTGGGCAGCAATTAAATTTTTTTCAGATAAAACACATCACGGTGCGAGACAACTTGCATTGTAGCTAGCTGTACATCTAGCATTTGGATGTGAAGGATAATTTTCGCTACTGTTTTATGCATGTTTAGTTTCGTTTTCCAACTAGAATCTTAATGATTAAGTTTTAATTCAGTTCATGTATACATACAGTTGCTAATGTGCGTCAAAGCGTTCGATTTTATCGTCACTGATTTTCAGACACAATCGCCTACTTCCGGGCTAAAACACATCTTCGTGACGACAGATTACTATAGAGATAAAAAACAGTGCTCCAATTATTACGTTTTTCATAACATAGAGCTAACGGTGCGTGATGTTATCAACTAGTAGTATGCCTTGTATCAAACATGTCAGTCTAGGTTTAATAACCTGCAACATGGGATATAATAATTACGCACGTCATTCATTTTTAACGGGTGTCCATATATGGTAATAATAATATAATTAATCATAATAATATTTATTCCCCAAAATACAAAAGTGCATAACGAAAGATAAATAAATATGATAAATCCACAGAAGGAATTATGTGAATATGAACCTCACCAACGAACATCAAATAGTATGTATTTTTTTTAAATAAGAGATTTATATTTATGGGGTCCTATTAATACGACGTATGACGGCTATTATACAAATTACAAAACCAGTAATTTGACATATAAATCGGAACACCCAGTTTAAATGGTTCTATTTTAATAAAATTTTGTATAAGTACTTAATGAAGCATAATAAGTAAATGATAAAAATTTCAAAATGATTGCACTGCTTTACAGCCCTTTGACCTTTAATAATGTGTGGATGCACCCTTATGTGCTACGCATTCTCCAACGCGCCTAGCTATGCTTCTGATCAGGTTGTCAATGTCCTCCTGTGGTATCTCATTCCAGGCAACCACCAACTCCTCTCGAAGTGCTCCTAGAGTCTGAGGAGGACGTTGCAAATTGAGCAATCTCCTACCCATCATATCCCACACGTGCTCAATTGGAGATAAGTCGGGAGATCTTGGTGGCCATGGTAACAATGTGACATCATTATGTTGAAAGAAGTCTATTGTGACTCTTGCAACATGTGGTCGGGCATTATCTTGTTGGAAAGTTGGATCTGCCAGGGTGTCAAGATAGGGTAAAAGATGGGGTTCTAGAACTTCGTGGATATAACGCTGCGCGTTCATCTTACCTCTGATGAAGATTAAAGGTGACCTGGAACCATAAGCTATAGTACCCCAAACCCTAACTCCAACAGTGTGATGAACATGTCTTTCAACAAAAAACTGTGGATTCCTCCTTTCACCACGTCGCCTTCTAACCCTGGCACTACCATCGTGCATGCCTAAACAAAATCGAGACTCGTCACTAAAGACAATACTGTTCCATTCCTGATCCCAGAGTGACCGTTGTCTGCACCACTCAAGGCGATTACGTCGGTGTTCTCGAGTTAAATGGAGGACCCAGTGTGGCCGGTATGAAAACAAGCCAAAACTTCTCATTCGTCGGTGAACACTTCGCATGCCAATAGGTCTTCCGTGTCCTGCAAACGATTCATTTGCAATGGACCTGGTAGTGGAGAAACGGTCCCTTAAGGCTAATAACCTTAGGCGGCGATCTTCACGGTCTGTTGTTCTACGGCGGCGTCTAGTGCCCCTTGCTCTTTGCGTACGGCCTTCTCGAAGCCATGCCTGATAACACCTAACCACAGTGTCTACACTTCTTTGCACTCTAACTGCAATTCCCCGAAAAGAAAGTCCAGCTTCCCGAAGTCCCACTATACGGCCCCTATCAAACTCACTCAAGTTGTCGAAATCGTACAGGTCTCCGTACTCTAGGCATCGTAACCGATCGTAAAGGATGTCAAGAACCAAAATCCGCCAACGTTGATTCTTTACTGCGGCTGAAATATTCAATTTTAGAGCGTTAGTGAATAAAAAAAAGCAGTATGAAAACCGGAATGTCCAACTGATAAGGCTGAAAATTTTTTCACTTGTTATTTACAGTAAAATAAATACATTCAGCAACTTTTATTAAAATAAAACCATTTCAACTGGGTGTTCGGATTTATATGTCACTTAGTATATATCCCGAAAAGTAAACAATACGTTTTAAAAACAAGCTTTTATTTAGATGTTCGAGAAATGACACAAAATCGTAAATATCGTTTTTGATTGGGAATATTAAAAGGGTAATGAAGCTCCTATATCTCAAGCTTTCAGTAGAGCGCAGCAGGATGGAAAAAAGCTTGTAACACGATTTTATGTGGAAACTTTTTTGCGCCAGAGAGCGTACATATGTATAATTCCGTACTACGCTTTAAGATGCTGACACCCATTAGTTGGGTCGCCTGTATGAAAGATAAACAATGTAATTATATTAATACTATGAGTAACGAATCTCTTTAAGCACCTTCAATTGAAAGATTACGATTCACATAAGAAACGCCGAAGAAGTGATCGCAATTAGTATCACAAGACCTTTTTGCACTTTACTGGTTGCATTTGTGTCCATTATTCCATGATACAGAACTCATGTAGTGTTTCTTACTTGCTGAACTTTCAGTAAATAAACCTCATTACTCGCTAATGTAATGAATACATAAACGTTTATTGCAAATTTATGCTTTTCTGAAGTGTTAATTAAAGATCAATGTTAATTATTTACCCGAACAAACTACGACAAGCTGTAACAGAAATATTGAAACACGAACTGGATAATAGTTGTATAATTATTTGGTATTTTCTAAGTGCACATTAAGATAGTGCGTAGTTTAGGTCTGACTCCATCTCAAGTACAGCTTTTACAACCGGAACATGTGAGAAATCACCATAAAGCCTCGGAACCTTGAACTTTTGGTAATGATAACGATGGAAGAAATGAGTCTAGAGGCACGGTTTACGTACTACCTTATATAATTAAAATATGCGTCGATTTTTGGAGGGCATATAGGATATGAAAAAATCGTACAGCAAGCAAGTAAAACAGTGTGCTATGGCACCAAGGCAGTATTACTGAAAACTGTCGTAGCCTAAATATAATAAGTAATCCACGACGAAATTTTTGAAAAGTCCACTCTCTCAGCCGGAAAACATGTATTCTTTTTTGACATCGAGAAAATGGGCAGTCGAAGTATCGCCATCACGCCCCCCTCCTCCCCCTCCCGAAAAATATTTTGATTCGGTTTAGTTGCATAATCTTATTAAAAAAAATTCTTTTACCAAATTCGCATGTTGCCAGGTCCGAAATTGCCTCAAACGTTATTTGAACATTGTTTTCAATCAAATCCCATCACTTTTGTTTTCGCTCCGGGCAAATTTTTCAGTTTTTTTTTTATCGTTCTGAACAAAAATGCTCCTATATGTCATTTTCGACCCCGTCAAATATACTGGAAAAATAAAATTGTTAATGCCATCGAAGTTTCAAAATATTCTATGAACCCTTATAAACAAATTGCAAAAAGATTCCAGGCCATTTTGCTTTTACGAACCTTTGTTTTTTAAGTATTAATCAATGGATAGTTTTTATGAGTGATGACCTGATGACCTATCTATTTGTCCTAATTTTCAAGCAGCTGTCCTGTTTACAATATTTAACGTTAAAAAATAAAATTTTAGCGATTTTCATTATTTTTTTTTGTATTTTGCCTGTAGCTCTAGCGACAGTAGGCTGATTTTCAAACCCTACAAAGCAATTTAGTCCCTGGTAGTAATCTTGTGAAAAACTTCATCAAAACCCGAGTGGTAGTTCCCAAGCTATAGACAGGCAAAGGACTGGCTGACAAATCGACGGAAATGAGTGATCTTCCGTAATGTACATGTGATAAAGTATCCACAAAAAAAAACATCGTTTTAGTGAATTCCCGCGATTGCAATACTTCCTCGCCGGTGGCGTAGGAACACAAATTGAAATCTCGTTTCGTCGGGCGATGATTTGACGTTTCTGAAGTTTGATGGCAGTGTCTGAACGTCAAAGATCTTTTCCGAGTAATTTTACTTTCTGTATTTCATAACATGCAACGTTGAAAAATAACCATCTCTACACCTTTGTCTTTCAGCTACTTCAGTCTCACTGTACTTCTGTTAAGTAGAAGCAATGCTTTTAAAATCGCCTTTGTGCGGTAAGTCGGTAAAATTTCCATTTTTTCATGATTACTCTTAATTTCTGCATGACCAATACATGTATAGGAAGTGGACAGCCCAGATTGAGTAATAAAATTTTCAACGATTAGTCAAAATCACATTTAACCAGAAACACATTAGCGTTATGCAGGAAACCATTCAAGGTAAATTTTTGGTTAAAGCCTTGTTATGGAATTATCTGTGAAGATTTTTTTCTGTATTCTGAATAAAGCAAATTTTACGCTAATTTAAGTTTATTTTGTATTGCAAAACAGGAAAGATGTAAATGAAAATTAGTAAGAAAGCAATTTTCGATTCATTTCTAATTTTACGCGTCATTATCAAGTGAATGCTATTGTGTGCTTGATATTGTAGCAGATTGCCATCAAATAGTTAACGTGCTGGCTGTTTGCAATTATTTCCTGGTTGTGTTTTCAGATGTGAGATTTTTGTGGATCTGTTTCAGCTCATCCGATTAACTGAGAAAGTTTAGTGTATAACGGAAGGAGAAAAATACAAGTTTCTGGATGAGTGGCAATATAAAAAATTCAATATGGCGGCCATAAGGAAGATGAAAGTTGAGGCGGGTTGCTGGAAAGCAAAAGACCATTAAGACATGTCATACATGCTATCTAGTTTTTCTTAAAAGAAATGTCCGAACAACGTCACATTTTGACAGCTGTCAAATTAATCATTTTAGATTTACTGGCGAAAAACAAATTCCGCCATTTTCGGTTGTTCGCTGATATTTTCAAAGTCAATTGCAGGCAATCGAGAGCACTAAGTTTCCTCCAAAACCTTCCCCATTTGACCTTTGCTGTAGATATAACAGCAGCCGAGATCCCTGAATAGAGAGGCGAATCTGTTACACACTGCATAATTGCCTGCAAGGCAGACCATTCGTTGGTAAATAATCATGTTGTGATTCAGACATATCCTTTTCAGACATTCGTAGGGTCATATATCAATATTAAAAATGATTTAAATGGATTTATTCAAAATATAGAGAAGAAAGGACATATTCACTGGTAGGCTCTATCATTCTAGCGAGATTGTACCCAAGTAGAAGAGCAGAAGATGTCTAATGCAGCCAGATAAAATATCCTTGATAGCACAGGATCTCTGAACAATTTGAAAGATACGAGTACTATGGAACTTCAACTAACTAGTCCTCGCAAGACTAGGGAATATAATAACTAATTTAGCCTCATTCTTTAGAATAGTCGCTACTTGGGTCATTTTCTTGAGCTGGCAGGACAAAAATTACGAAAATGTCATCGTCATCAAGCAGTTTCACCTCCAAACTTGTGACCAAACATTTATGTATACGAAAGACCTTGCAACATTCATTATTTGGCATTAAATAAAGGCATTCACAAACTTGTTTTGTGTTCTCCGTGACGATTAATCTACTTCCTCATATTCAAAAATTGTACTCCAGATCTTACGAAGGCAGAAAAATGTTTCTCAAGGATCCGTTTTTGCTAGAACACAGTTTCTGTTACGCAACTACGAGGTTTTTCCGTTTAAAAAATTTGGAGCGTCGTGTCCACGCGTTGTGGAAGGGTTGCTCCGGTGGTTCCCTCTTTGTATGCAATCCTCTCTAAGCTCAGTTTGAGCCGAAGCGCTCTGTGAGTAAGTAGGATTTACATGAGCTTGTTGAAAGTATCTTTTTTTTTACCTTCCGTCGGCATGGATCTCTCTTTCATCAAAGAACAACGCATCAACATCAAGTTTCATGCAAAGCTGGTCAAGAATGGTCTAGATTCTTGAGTGTTTTGAACAAGTGTACGGAGACAATTTTCTAAACTAACCAACCGTCAACAAGTGGTTGAATAGGTTTCGGGAAGGTCGAGTAGATGTGAAAGATGGCCAACGCTCAGGACGCCCCTCCACATCGAGCTCTGAGGGAAATATTGAACGAATTCGGGACTGTGTTCTTAAGACCGTAGATTGGCAGTTAGAATGATAGCTGAGGAATTTTCAATCCCCAAAACAGTCGTCCATAAAATTCTAACGGAAAAACTTGAAATCAAACAATTTTGCGCGAAAATTGAACCGAAGCTCTTGACTCCAGAATAGAGTTGCTTGCTGTGAGGTTTGGCTGAAAGCAGAGAAAAGGGGGGACTTTTTCAACCGGGTCATCACTGGAGAAGAGTCTTGGTTCTACGAGTCCTCAAAGCATGGAGAGGAAGCAAGCAGGGGAACCGATAACAAAAAAGTCGAAAAAATCAAAGTATAATGTGAAAACAATGCTGATTGTTATCTGATTCTCGGGACATTGTTCACCAGGAATTTGTCGCTCCAAGCCAGAGAGTGAACGGAAATTTCTACGATGAAGTTCAGCACGACAACGCGCCTGCTCACACGTCTCTCATTGTGAGAGAGTTCAATCACCGAGACAGAATACCCGCCTTGCGACTTCTTGCTGTTCTCAAAATGTAAAGTTATGCTTCGGAGGCGGCACTTGGAGCATGTGGAAGCAATCAATGCAGAAATGACACGGCAAATGAACAGCCTCATGATTGAAGATTTTCAGCTCAACCTCAACAAGTAAAATAAAGTTATTATTCCACTTTTATACGTATTTTCCTAACAAACCTCGTATATAGCTACTGCCTGGTCGACCTGAAGGGGTCATCGGTTTTTGATGGAAACCATCATCTCGGCTTATCGAATTCTCGGATATGCACTGAGGACGTGATTTGATATCTACATAACTCGTTAGTCGCAGCAACTACTGGGAAGAAGCCAGTGATGTTTCGAGCTAGAGCTTTTCACCATCTTTTCATTTCCTTCTTTAAATTCTTTTTCTTTTCGTGCTACAACCTGAACTGGTTTTTGTCATGTTTCTTTTGTTCTTTAATACCTTTTCCTTTTTAATTTTTTATTTAAGTTCTTTCTCTGAAGACGAGTCACTTGAACTGCTGCTGGTAGAACTGCTGGAACTGGAACTGCTAGAAGAACTTGATGAGCTAGAAGAAGCGTCCGGCTTACGTTTCTTTCTTTTCTTTTTGGCTCACTGTCTGAGCTGTCCTCCTCTGATATTTTTGTTTTTTTTGATTTCATATGCTCTAGGTCATTGTTTTGATGTTTATCCACCGTCAGTTTATCGATCCTCATTTATATTTTTTTACTTGAAAACCAAGGCGTGGCACTTATGTCGGAGTTAGCATTGCACTGAAAAGAAAGTACTTGCGGTACCGATAATGAAAATGTAAAAAGTCGCGTGTAGGAATGAGCTATTAAAACGTCAGCGGGTTGTTATCAGTGCAAAACAGCCTAATTTAAAAATTAAAAAAATGTTCTTGTTAAAACTAACCTTCATAAAAAACAAAATTCAACACGATCCTGTGAGCGCCGCTGCAGTGTGAGCCTGCCAGATGGATCTGCTAAACTTTTGCATCTCATTCTAAGTTAGCCAAACTGTGACCGTCGAGAATTGGATGATGACTGCTTATTTGTCCCTCAAGAACCCAGATTGTTGGTTTTCTCCGCAGGTAATTTTAAAGTCACATCAACTCGCTTATTTCCTTAAGGTGTTTGGTACAAAGTCCGTGCCCACTCTGAAAGATTCCGTTTGGCGCCTAGTATATGCAGAGGTGCAATAGTGACCAGTGATGCAAGTCAGCGTATAGTTCCTTACGACCAAAATGTCAGCTCTGCTAAGTGTCCATTCCCCTTTTTCTTTCTCTGTACACGAGAACCAGAAAACGTATTGTCCAGCTCTCTATATTGTTGCCAGCCGATGTACTGATATGAAGCTGTCTCGTTATTAACCGATTACAAGCAATGACGAAAAATGAATGGGTCATTCGTCTGTTAATTAGCCCAAAGTATAATAATTATCGATCGTTAGCGAATAACACACATATTGAATGGGTCTGGGTACCGTAGAACAATACGTATTAAATACTGAAAGAGTGATTGAAATCAGTTTATGGTCAGGCCTTCGTGGCGTTTCTGGCCAATTTGCTGGAAGAAAAAAGTGGTCCGCGTTATTTACGTCGGATTTTGGAGCGTTACGTTTCAGGCGATTGATGGAGACTGGAGATTGATCACGTTGGGTTTGAGGGTACAGAAAAATGCCAAAAAAATGAACGCGCGATTGCAGATGATACGAAGTAAATTCCTACAAGCCTTCTTATATACGGCCTAGCAGAAGCTGACCCAACTAGCAAAGTAGTGCCATAAGCTTTTAAGCTAGTTAAGTCGCCCATTCAAATAATGTGTAGTAACTATAACAGAATATCTACTTACTGTGACATTTTTATTTGCACGTTGAAGGAGCTTGTGGATCAAGCTATTCACCTTTAATTGTTTTTCCTCTTTTTTTCTTTTGTACTTAGGCATGTTATAATTTATGATTCATTTTTTTTTTCAAAATCAAAATAAAGTTCATTTAAAGCAACATATTTTCTTGGGAGATGTCAATATAAATATTTTGGACAATGATTCCATCACAAATGAATACTTGAATATCCTATCAAGTAACGGATTTCTGTCTTATATAAACCTACCTACAAGGTCCATCAGTGGCACATGTATAGATCACTGCTTTGTGAAAGACCTATCCGACTAAATTACTTGTATACCAATAATCCTACAAAGCGATATGACCACTTCTCCACTATTTTACTAATATCTTCAAATGAAAAACATTCTAACATTCCTACCGTTAATAACAACCAGGAAAATTACAAATTTTTTGTCGACAATTCAAAACTAATATCAAATGTCAAACAAGAATCCTGGGAACAATTATACTCTATAAATAATATAGACAAAGCAACGGGACTGTTCATAGAGAAAATAAAAAAACTAATAGATATTAGTACCAATAAAGTAATAATTAGTCACAAAGAGAAAAGCAGAAATGCCTGGATTACCAAAGGATTAATAACATCGGCAATAGAAAAAGAAAGACTATATAATGTAATGAAACTAACACCAACTACAGAGAATACCGACTGTTACAACCAATATAAAAATAAGTTTATAGAGCTTGCAAGGTAAACCAAACGAAAACATTACCTAAATAAATTGAATAATAACTTAAATGATCGTAAGCGGCTTTGGACAACTATTGATGAGATTACTGGGAAAACAAAATTTAAAGAGTGTGTCACCGAGTTAAATACAACATCGGGAACAGTATTAAAAAGTACTCAACAGATATGCGATGAATTTGTACAATTCTTTACTGACATAGGCGAAAATTTAGCAAGTGATATACAAGCAAATGTACAAAATACTCAGCCTCCAAAAAGAACTTTGAACTCATTTATTTTGGATAAAGTCGAACAATGTGAAGTATACACCACTGTTATGTCCTTAAAAAATCGGAAAAGTCCTGGGTTCGATGGTATTAAAAGCGAGCATTTGAAAATTATAGCCGAGGACATAACAGAACCACTCACTTACCTAATCAATAAATGCTTTGAATCTGGCATATATCCCTCAATTTTAAAAAAAGGTAATATAATACCGATACATAAATCAGGAACAAAAACAGATGTTAACAACTATAGACCAATATCAATAATATCCAGTGTAGCAAAGGTTTTTGAAAAAGTTTCATCTACTAAAATGATTCGATACCTCACAAAATTCAAAATTTTAAGTGAAAATCAATATGGATTTACAGAAGGGAAGGCTACATCGGACGCAATAACAAAATTGTAAATCAAATATATCAAAATATTGATAACAGAATCCCTTCAATCTGCATTTTTGTTGATTTAAAGAAAGCTTTCGACACAGTTAATCACAAATTATTATTAGAAGCATTGGAGAGAATTGGTTTCAGAGGAAACGCGTACTCACTGATTGAAAGTTATTTGTCAAATCGCCCACAATCTGTGCAGATATCAGGAACATTTAGTAAAGAAATGTATATTAAGTGTGGTGTCCCACAAGGAACTGTCTTAGGTCCGCTGTTATACAATATATATTTAAATGATATTTTCCAAATTAATTGTGTTGGCAAAATAACTAGTTTTGCAGATGATACTGCAATATTATATGAAGGCACTGACTGGTCTGTTCTGAAAAATGTAATTGAAAATGATTTTATCAAAATTATTCGGTGGTTTAACAGTAGAAAATTAAGCATTAACTACTCTAAAACACATTTTTTACCATTTGGATCTTATGCTAGACATCTGCCAAATTACACAAATTTCTCCTTCAATATCAATGATCAAAAAATGCAAATTAATAGAGTGCCCAACATAAAATACCTTGGAGTGGTCTTGGATCCTCACTTACGATGGGACATCCATGTCAATTATATTTTAAAGAAAGTTAGATTTGTATCCTACAAAATTAAATACCTTGGGAATATATTGACAGAAAAATATCTTCAAACATTATACCATGCACTGATTGAGCCTCATCTCACATATGGTATATTAGCATGGGGAGCTGCATGTTCCTCACGTATCTATAATTTAGATGTTTTTCAAAAAAATATTCTAAAAATGATATTTAAAAAACCGAAACTTTATCCCACTGAAAAATTATATGCAGATGTTCGAATGTATGATATAAGACAGCTTTATTTCTTACACAGTATTACTCACTACCATAAATTTGTAAACACCGACCAAAAAATTAAACATAATCATTATACCAGGTACAAAATTCGTGGCACAGTAGTTCCTCTACCGCATAAATCTATAATGCAGCGATAATATCTCTATTTAGCGCCTAAATTTTATGAAATTATACCTAAAGACTTAAAAGATTTACGTTTCGGAAATTGTTTCAAAAGAAATTTAAAAAAGTGGCTACATTCTATATCTAGGACTGAAATTCATAAACTCATAAATACGAACATCAACTAAATACATAATCTACTGTAGCTAATTTTTGTCCTTTTTTGTCATTTGCATTCTACAGTATCAGCTTAAATTATTGGTCCATGTACAGGCGATGCCTTCTATTGGGCCTGTTTTGATTTTATATTTATTTACTCATATTGTTTGTTATCTTTGTACATTGAGTAAATAAATATTATTATTATTATTATTTGCACATTGAATAAGCTTGTGGATCAAGTTGTTATACGCATTTAATTTATTTTTCGTAGTTAGGCATGTAATAATTTAGAACTTCCCTTAATTACCCTGTAAATTGTTAGCAGTTGGGTAATAAAGCTATTATTATTATCATGAGCAAATACCACTTTTCTGTGAAAGTGCCGGATTGGTAAGATACCTGGAAGAGATGCGAAAGGACTGGAGCAAGCACCGCTTCACATCTCTCCAATATAACAGCAAAAATCAAGTCCGGATCACAAGTTTTGTTTGTTATTTGCTTACTTTGGTTTAATCGAAGCTAATGATGAATGAAAAACAAATAGATAAAGGACGATTTTCTTAGTATTGATTACATAGCTGCATATTCATGGATATCCTGGTTAAATATACACATTTTGTAAATACGTAACCCGATATAGTCCGACTGCGGTTACCAGAATCTAATCTAAAAAACAGGATGTCTATAGAAAATACAGTAAAGGTATTTTTGTACGTACTTGATTCGGACCATGCATATCCTGCTGTGATCTTGATACTATCAGACGTTTGAAATCGAATGCTTGTAATCCCTATCGGGTATCTTGTACCCAGGAAGTGTCAACTAGCGTTTTTATTTAAATTAGGATCATAGCATCTACCATTTAATGATCTGTAATTTCGTCAGATGATACTTAAAACCGGAGAGATTCTGATGAAGCACTACCGCTGTTTGAAAATTGAGCAAGCTTAGCATGTTCAAATAGTACTGCCCTAGTCAGGACTATTTTATATACCCTTTTACATGCAGAAAAGGCTCAGTGTACCAGAACACATATCGCTGTTTCATTTGCTATTTTTGTTTTATTTGATCGTATACTTTTCACGAAGTATCCCGACTAGCAAAGTAGTGCTATAAGCTTTTAGTAAAACAACCTTTCAGCCATAAAAGCTCTCTATTGTTGTTGCCTGAACACCAAAATGCTGGCTTAATGTTGTGTGGAATGCAAATTTGCTTTCAGCAACATATTTGCTCTAAAATGAGGTGTTTAAAATATTCTTAGTTGCACAACACCTTATAGGACAAAGACAAACAACCCATGCATATTGGTTAAAAAGGTTTTATCAACTGTTCAAACAGAAGATATAGATATGGTACAAATTCTAGGTAAATCATTGGACTCTGTCGGTATTTCATTTCTGCCATTTGTCAAATTGTTGTATAACACCTGCAGGCAACACCAAAATATTCTAATAAACTAAAGACGACACATGGACGATGCCATGATAATACACAACCACCCGCCATATTGGGCAAGCATTTATTCCTCTATATGATATTAAATAATTATGTTTCAGTTCGAAATTACAGATATAAAGTGATAAACATTAGTGTAGTTGTGTCTAAATATAGGATTTGTGGAAGATTTAACGCAGATAAGGTCAGTCTTCCATCTTAAAAATCTAGACATACTTTTGATCATAATCAAAATATGAATCAAATACGAAGCCCGTAGAAATTGCGTAACTACTTTGCACGATAATCACAATAAAATTTGCTGCGCAAGTAATTCAATAGCCCTATATCATAGTGTAGAAGTTTATCATATACATACCTGTGTATGAAATTCACAATGGCCGATATGTAAGTAAACAAGATCACTGTATTGTGTTAGTTATATATTCTTCACTTCGTCTATACAATACATAAGAAATAGTTTGGTTGCAATAAAGTATATTCACGTAACAGAATAGTTGAATAGTTGACAAAATCTGACGCAAATGTTCTATAGCGGCTGCAAGAGGCTTACACTTTTGTTGTATAACTGTTACCTGCAGCCCTTATACAACCTCTTAAAAGACTGAAGTGTCCTACTAGGTGTGCCCATTCCGCTTGTATAGCTGTTCTAAGAGGGTTTAGCCAATGTTCATGCAGTATACAATGCTGTGTAAGGAATACTGTATAATCATTCTTGGAACTCTAATAGGAGTGATAATTGTTAGTTGGGATCTTACTTTTACAAAATATTATGCATAAAGACTTGACATAGGAGGCAAACCTCCTGGAGTGGGGGTGAAGCCAAACATATCTACTATGAAGTGAGTTAGTACACTGCGCAGCAAGTCAACTTCAGGTGCTGCGCACAGGGCATCTGTGTTATGTGTACATTGCGCACAAAACGAATTTCAGGGTCTGTGCACGTGGCATCTCCCTTTGTTACTAATATCATGATTGTAAAGTTGCAAGCAGAAATATTGCACAATGTTAATATAGCACGAAGTAATACACCTACAAAGCATGCCGGATCGTGAGTGAAATGCATAAAAATGTTGCGGCAGGTTATGTTGACTATCCCACTAAACTTCCGACAGCCGCCACAACATCGTGGACGATAGGATTGGCTTTATTCGAATACGCAGTTTAACCTCCTGCCTCTAGTCTCAGTGTGTCTTCCGCAATCGCAGTAGTTGTTAACAACCCTCTTCAGAACGAGACGCTAATCTAAAAAAAATTACCGGTATTTTTGTTTTAAAGAAAACAGGTTCTAAATAAGACACGAATGCAATATCCAGAGGCAGGATCGAAGGATGCGTGTCTACACTTTTCAATAGCTCATCTGCAGAAAAACATAATGATAGATTGAATTAGTTAATGAATTTAATTAATTTTGTGATTCACTGTCTCGCTGCGACGCATTACTGAATTTTATCCAAAGATGCCCTTAGATTTGATATTGTAGCATTCAGACGGTTGCATCCTTTGACGAAGCAGATTTGTTTGTCTAACCCATTGATTCCCAAAGTGGTCTATATCGACCCCTAGGGGTCTATGACAACCTGCAAGGGGTCTACGTCAGCGAAAAAAAAATTGGCGGTCCATGAAATGAATATGGGGTTCCACGATAGTGAATCTCAACACATACACTGATAGTACCTATTTACTTACATCATACTATCTTATAATATCAAAACATATACATTATTTATAAAAGTACCTATGAAGTAAAAAAATTTATTATATATTTTTATAAAATTGTGTAAGTTGTAGGATGTTGGTATTCGCTTTGTGGTCGCAATACACTTTGAACTTGTAAAAACCTGAGAGTCGCAGTCTCAGAGCTTCGCTACCTATAAATACGAATGTGGGACAAATACGTTTATTCGTTTTCTGAATCTTGAAAAGGAAAATGCTAAGAAAATATTTTAAAAAATATAAACAGATAGTATATCACACAAATTATAGTGAGTCAGTGTTATTTTGTTTGAGAGTGCTGGAGAAAAGTAAGTACATTATTTTTTATTAAATTTTAGTTTTGTACTCGTAGTTAGCAAAGATAGATAAATTACGCCAATCATGACTTTAGCTATTAGTAGTTAAATATTCAATCATGCAAAATTAAACGAGCACTCCTCAATAGTTTCTTTTTGAAAGTTTTAGCAATCGGTAATATAATTACAGTGCAATCTCCGTAATTCGAGGTAATTGTTGCAACAAGATGTTCGAATTATGGAATATTTTCGGAAAAATCAAAAAATATTTTTAATATACAGCTGCTGGATTTTCTGTCTTATTTAAATAATTTAATTTTGCCCACAGATGACTGATGCCATGTCCGAATCTAAAAAGGAATGTAGACAGTACAGTGTTGATTATTTGAAATTTGGCTTCATTCCATCATTGTCGGACAAACAATCTCCTATGTGCCTTTTATGCAACAAAGTTTTGGGCAATGACGCTATGAAACCATCTAAACTACAAGATCATCTGATAAAACAGAGAAAGATTTGAAATACTTTCAAATACTCAAAGATAAATTTCAGAAGAGACCTACACTAGACAGAATGTTCGCTTCGACGTCACAAAGAAATGATGATGGTTTGCGGGCGTCTTACAATATCTCGTTACTTATAGCAAAATCCGGAAAACCGCATACTATCGGAGAGAAGTTAATTCTGCCAGCCGTTGATGAGGTTTTAAAAACTGTTTTACACAATCCTGCATCTGATATCATTAAAAGAATTCCCTTAAGCAACAATACTGTTGAAAGACGTATTGATGAAATAAGTTCTGATATTGAAAGCTTCTTATGTAATTATTTGCAAACGACCCATTTCTCTATACAACTGGACGAGTCAACTTTACCTGATAATGCAGATTATTATTGGCATATGTTCGTTTTATTATGAATCAAGAAATCTACGAAGAACTGCTCTTCGCAAGAACTTGGATAACCGACACTAAAGCAATTCCTTTATCAAATATAATATCAGTAGCTACAGATGGAGCACCTGCCATGGTTGGACGGTATCGTAGATTTATAAGCTATTTAAAACAAAATCTATCAGGGGTGTTAGCAATACATTGCGTCATCCGTCGACAACATCTAGTTGCTAAAAATTTGAGTGTTAGATTGCATGAATCACTTCATTTAGTCATTGATGCAGTAAACCGAATCCGAAGCAACGCGTTGAATACGCGGTTATTTGCGCAGTTGTGTGAAGAAAATGACGAACACTTTCATCAATTACTTCTTCACACTGAAGTACGCTGGCTGTCGAAAAGCTTATGTTTGACAAGATTTTTTGCACTTTTTGAGACTATTTTAGAATTTCTGGATACTAAAGAAAACATTTTAAAAGACAATTTAATGAAGAGGAAAACAGACAGATTTGTTTACAAAATTTAATATGGTTAATTTGCAATTACCAGGCGACACTTTAAATTTGATTAAAACAAAGACCATCTTATCAGCGTTTCTTGCCAGAGTTAAACTAATGAAGCAAAATATTGGACGGGGCGAATTTTCTCAGTTCCCCAATTTGTCACAGACAAGCTGCCAGGAAGACGACGTTTCAACTTACGTTCAACATATAAATGCCCTCTATTCAGATTTTGAATCTAGGTTTGAGGATATTTTGACTAGGATAATACCACTGTGGATAATTAATCCATCTGGTGACATAGAAGAAACGAATCTCATAGTACAAGAGGAACTGACTGAACTAAGTACAAACGGAGAACTTAAGGTTCAGTTTAAAAACAACATACCCGTTACTTATCCCGTATTATGGAATATAGCGAGGACATTTTTAATTTCCTTTCCATCGTCATACCTAGTGGAAAGGGGGTTCAGCGCTGTTACCAATCTCCTAACGAAAAAAAGAAACAGACTGGACATCATTAGCCGAGGAGATTTAAGATTAACCCTTACAAAATTGACGACAAATATTGATAATTTATTATTAAAGCATCAGGTTCATCCTTCTCACTAAAAATATTGACTTATTGCTTGTGTTATATTATTTATAGTTTATTTTATGTTTATTATATGCGGGTACTTATTCCCAATGCGGACACTTATTGGTCAGACACATGTTTATTTAATGTTACGTATATTTTACATAACAGATACAAAATTTTATTTAGAGTAGTTTTAATTTAAATTCAATTAATAAATGTATAAATTAACATGTGTTTTTACTTTAAGTTTTTAACACTAAACTTCATACAGTTAGAAATTTACAGGAAATATCAGGTAAGTAGGAGGTCTACCCAACACGGAAAAACATGGCAAGGGGGCTACGACACAAAAAAGTTTGGGGAACTCTGGTCTAACCAATGGGAAAATAATTTATCCATAGTTAATGAGTTATACATACATATATATATATATATATATATATTTTTTTTTTTTGAGACGTGGTCATTGTCGTCTAGACCAGTTAGGTGAAAAATTAAAGCTTCCGCCTTTTATTGGGTACTTCGACAAAATTTAAGCAAAGAGGCCTCTTTATACCTTTTTTAATTCTCTCTAGCTTTCAATGGACTTTGCCATCATCATCAGGAAAAAAAAAATATATATATATATATAATTAGATTAGCACCTTAACTAAAAGTATTTACTTGTGTCGCACGTCAAAGAGGTCAAAGTATGATTTTTTTAAAATCGAAACAACCTTGAGGTATTTAAGAGTCGACTGGTCAAGCACGTATGGAAAGGAACAACAGAATATACACAAACAAAAAATAAGAAGTGTATCCAGCTGCTGACAGCGCCATTTATCGTGAGGTATGATAGATTTATCCATTCCAATCCATTTAAGCTCTCCCCTGGTAGATTGGCTCATTTTCAATATACAAGTTTCCATGGTCTGCAAGCAATTGTGCTGTATAGTAGCTTCATTACCATGCTCTTTTTCAATCGAAACATCTATGATCTGACTTCCATCAGTCCCTACTCAACTGCCAGTTGGCTCATATTCTGTACAACAAAGCTGTAATAAAAGTAACGGTATTTCTTTAACAAGTCAAGGTCAGGTCTACATTAACTCTGAGCAATGATGTTGGTGGATTTGACCAAGAAAGTCATTTCAAGGTTGAATTTTGTTTGTATAACGGACGTATATTAAAATACGAAATCAACGTAACCTCTAGGGAACAGACGAAGATTCAAGTTAGGAAAAATTCTAGAAGTTTAGCAGAATTTATGATGAAAAAATTGGGGACAGGTATTCAGTAACTTTGGAGAAAGGTTTCAGTGGTAACTGGATACTACCTCGAACCTCTGAAAATTGTACTATTGGTGAGAATCAGAGGTGAAGACAAGCTCAATATTGGAATGGCTGCCAAAACTTACTAAAGGAATCGACCTTGATTTTCCCCCATCAATGGTCTTGAAAAACCTGCAGGACTTTCCCTAGCCTCACACGTTTACCTTTATTTCTCCTTTGGGGTTGATCTTAAGCTTTAACACAGGTTCGAACGTAGAATTTTCAAATCATTCGATAGTCGGTGTCAAAAAAGAGTGCCTCTCATTCAAAAAAAAATTGTTGATATTGAAAAATCATTGATTATCAAATCAAAGGACACCATTGGACTTCCGAACCGACCTTGGCCTGTTTCAGAAATACGTTACCCGGAAAAGTACAATGCTTCACTTTGTAATATCTAGTATCTAAATGTTATTATTGAAAATTATTAGAATGCTTACCAAATGACATTCTAAACATTCTAAACAAACACCATACGATATCAAAAAAATATACAATTATATGCCGGCTTCTTATACAGAGTCCGCATGAAATTAGCGGATTTTAAGAATGAGTAACCCAGGTGTTCATGCACCAATTTCACACAATTCTACATTTACTATACCATAACATGTGTAATATCCGTATCTTACCTCTTGCGAGCTTATACCGCGGCTTGTGAAACATATCGTACATGATATGCGTGGTGCAAAAAATGTATCTCTCATGAGGGTAATCAATTCATTTGAACAGGATTGGAATAAGGGACTGGTGATCAAAAATAAATTAAAAATCAATGTATTCTGCATTATAAGTGTGATGCAAGCTTATTGCTCCATTCTCCTTTCGCAGAACTTACTGTGATATACAGGATGTTTTAAATTCGTCTTTTACCATATTGGGATCTCGGATACTTTAAAATAAAACATACATTAACATTGCCTTTTCCTCCTCTACAAGACGCTGTAACTAGAGTTTCAATATAACATTTCGTCTCTTGTACTCAGTTATCAACATTATTTTGTTTTCTCTAGACGCCATATTAGATCTTAGCCCAGGTGAACGGAATTGTCATTGCAGATTCCAAAAATGTATGATAAGTCATACATTGATATGGTCAAAAAACTAATATTGTCATAGATGGCCTTGAATGTGACAATTTATCCGATTTTACCACCATTGCTTCAAGTCTGTTTAATACGTTAATGTATCGGTTTAAATATGCGGGGTATGAAATGTGTTCAGGAAGCCGCCTACTTGGTCGAGGCTTTTACTTTCTCCAAAATGTTTCTACAAGTAATATACTACCCTCAAATAATATGAAACAGTTTTAGTATCAGATTGTTCTTTATTCGATGAGTCGAGACTAACTGTAGAAAGATTATTTTTTTGGATACATGAAACTTTATAATCATGCCATTCAAATCGGAAACAGGGCTGTGTACCTATGCCTAGTTCATAAAAGCTTAAGAAATGCTTGGCTGATGATATTATGGAACAAATGTCTATCTGATAATTTCAAGGCATTCTTAGAAAATCCTGATTTCTCGTTCAAACAGTGCAGTTTCAGTGCTATTTATTAGTTAAATGACAATGTCTATGACCCACAAAGATCAAATCCTGTTGGATGTCAAGAATGCTAACGCAAAACTTGGGACTGCATCAGTTTAAGGTGTAAACATATTTTTCTAGGAGAACTCATTTTTGAAATAGTGTCAGAATATGGTCAAATGAAAGGGCATGGTCAGATGTCTAGGGAAAAAATTAAATTTATTTTTTTGGATTATCTGACATTATGAATACCCTATAATAACACGTTTTGACATAAAGACTTAAATAAAAAAGTTATTTCAGTGCGAGTACCTACATGGCAAATCTTTTAAAACGAAACATCCTCAGTTACACAATCTTTTTACATTGACATGCCTTCAAGAAAGCAATACTCTCAAGAGAACTTTACATTTTAGAAGATTGTCAATGTACGTGCATTAATCGCAATTGTTGATTCCAGAAGAAAGTGATAAACCCTAATAGACGTAAGTCGTAGTGGATTTGGTAGCATTCTCAGAATGAACGGTCTAATACTGGTTGAGTAAGTGCAACCTTCAAGCTTTTTTATTTCAGACTGAAACCGATATTATTCATTTGCAATGTGTCAGCATGGGCAATAGTAGGATTCGTGTGTCTTAATTCTCAATGCGGTCCTGTCGGAGATCTAAAACAAACGCAACTCCGTTGTTTTGCATTATAGGCTGCCAGCCACGGCAACGAATTAAAATTGAACGTGTCAATGTGAACGCAAAAGTCACCTGTAATTATTGCGGTGTCGTATCGCACATGTGCTTAGTTGCATTGCAATGTATTTACCAGGAGAACGTACGTATCAGGAGTTTTGCTGCAGACTTCGGGAAAGAATTTTTTGTTCGGGCGTTCTGTATATTACGCCCAGCCATGCTGAGTTTATGTTTTGTACCGATAGTTTTCGTAAAAGTCAAGAGCTAGGTTTTTGCCGTGAGAAATCGTTTAAATCAGCCAATAAGATTGTTATATTTGCCGTTGAAATATACTCAGTGAGAAAGGGAAAAACAACCTGTAGAATGACTTAATTTGGCTGAAATTTTGTATGCAGTTATGCAAGACGAAATAGTGAATAAATTTTGTAGTGTATGTATTCGTCTGGACATGCTTCTGATGAGGTGAATTACTTCTTTAGAGACCTCATATTAAGGCAGCTGTATTGGTTCCAAAACGTTGTTAGCGATTGTGGGGGTTAAGACAAAGTGGTCACTTTTCTTTCTATCATAGCCCATGTACATTCACTAGGCTAAAAGTCTCCAGATCTGGGAGACCAATAAGGCCGACTTGAGCGTTATTGAGGCTCTAGTTTTAATATGGAGATCAAAATTATCTTGTTATAAACTGGGGAGCTCAAGCATTTGAAGAAAGAGCAAGTATGGTTATTTGAAACTTGATGACCTCCATCATAATAATAATGTTCTTTAATTCACGATGTTTCGATTGGTGTGATCTCCAATCGTCATCAGGTGAACTGTCGAACATGCTCTTTTCTTGACTGTTGACCGTTTGATCACGTGACTGGTGGTTGGTTGTGACTTGCACCTCATTCCAGTTGTTTGATATTTCTTACAGTCAGTTGCCATGCTAGTTTAATTTCCGCACCTGGATTACTGTGGACATTATCATTAACACCACGCAGCTTCCTTGAATTTTCTCCGATGACAGAGTGTTCCTTTTTGAAATATGTTAGCGTGATCCGGAAATGTGTATTCTGTGATACCTTGTCCAAGCGTGATGTGCGATCCCAGATTCATTCGTTTTTCTCCGTTTCGTGTTGGATTTATTTTTACTGAGAGTGGTCTTTTTGTTTCTAATTCAATCTCTTCGCATTCAAGTGGTACTTGGGATCTACACAATCCTTTGTGTTCTGGTTTTAGTTCATAAGCTTTTGTCTTTGTG